GTTTTTGGTAATGTTAAAAACCATGTGGTTATGGTTTTGTTAGGGGCCAGTGACTAGCTCCTCAGTTCCATTTAACTACTTAATATCAATTGTCTTTATAAGGGGATATTTACTTCAGAGGTACGGCAAGAACCTTGTATAAACATTTTCCCTAAACATCTTGGGGCTGCATCGCCCCTGTATCGCTTTAGCCTCTGGTGGGGAAGAGAGAGGAAGAAGGCTTAACTGACTTCATTTCCTATATAGAACTGATTCCACTGAGTTAATGTCCAGATGCAGTATGACATTTTCATTATATTAGCTTGGCCTGTCCATAAGCAATTTGTACGGGGTCCCAAGACTTTCCTTGAGGTTTTTTGTATTTCTCTAAATATGTAGCTCTGTCTTTATTTCCATAAAGAGTATTTTGCAGTAGTATTTGTATAGTTCCTGTGTGTAGCTTGCTAGATAGAATACCAGACATTTTATATATTCTGTAGATATTTTGAATGGAATTTATATCTTCCTGTTGGATTTGGTTGGTAATATAAAAAAATGATGATGGTTTATCTGGATTTATTTTACATCTTGTAACTTTGCTAAAGTTATTGTTTCAATTAATTTTTGTAAAACTGTCATGCCATGCAGATAAATATGTACACTCCTTTCTTTTCCCACTCAGTAATTGCCAAAAATCTATATCTCATTTTCTAAAGCCCTATTTGGGTCCTTTACTTCTTCCTTTTTTTTTTTTTGGTTAAACATGTCTAAGCTTGAAGGTGTATTGTATCCCCAGCTACTATAGTTTTACAATCTATTTTTCCTTGTAATTAATTTAATTTTTCCTGTAAGCATTTAGATTTTTGCTATGCCATTTGGTACTCATTGTCCATAATGCCTTTAAGGATAATGTAGTTTTCCTAGTTATCTCTTTTAAAAATCAAGTATTTTTTGCTTCCTTATCTGTAAAGTGGGAGTAATAATAGCACCTAGGATTCTCTTAGGATTGTTGTGAGGATCAAATGAGCTAATAATTGTAAAGCACTTAGCACAGTGCCTGGCACATAGAAAGCACTCTATAAATGTTAACCGTTATTATTATTATCCTTGTTTAGTCTCTTCCGATTGCTCAAACGTTTATCTTTTTATGTCTCTTGACTCTTGTGTTTATATTTTGAAGATTCTCTTCAGCTCTGTTGTTTTCACCAGAAATACTTGGAAGTTTTTTATTTCATTAAAAATATAATTTTTCCCTTAAAGATATTCAGTTTTGTTGAGTGATTTATTTTTCATTGTGAGACTATATATTTTGCCTTTTGGCGTATTGTATTACAAGCTCTCCTCTTCTATATTGATAGTTGTAGTTTCCAAATCTTGTTATACTAACTGTGAATCCGCAGAACTTGAACTCTCCTTTTTCTGCATATTGCAGTATTTTTTATTTTACCTAGTCATTCTGGATTTTGGCTATGACATCCCTGGGAGTTTTCATTTTGGAATTTTGTTTAGGGGGTGACTGTTGGACTCTTTCTATTTTTCACTTTGCCCTCTAATTCTAACAGGTCTGAGCAGTTTTTACTTATGATTTCTTGAAATGTGGTATCCAAGCTTTTGTTTTTTGGGTTTTTTTTTGATAATAACTTTCAGGTTTTTTACCTTTTTTACCTTTCATGTATTTTACTCTTGACCTATTTTCCAGGTCAGTTGTTTTTTATACAAAATGCCTTAAATTTTCTTATCTTTTCCCCCAGTCTTTTGATTTTGTCCTAATATTTATTGTCTGGTGAGGTCATTTTCTTTTGTTTTATCTATTCTAACTTTCAGAGAGCATATTACTTGGGTACAATTTTCTACTTCTTGTACTGAGTTATTTATTCTCCTTCAAATCTTTTCCTCTAGAGCTCTTATTCATTATTTTTTATTTTTGCTCTCATTCATTCTTCATGTCATTTAAAAAACATTTCCTTCATCTCTTCTAGGAATTCTAATTGACCTTTTGACCAAGCTGTGTTTTTGTTTGAGGGTTTGCTTGCTGATATTGTGGAGTTATTTTCTTCTTCTGGATTTGTGTCTTGGGTATTCCTGATTCTTTATCATTGTTATCTTTCTGTTTACATGTTCTTTTAGCTTTACTCCGTGAATTGATGCTTTGTGTTTGAACTGGGCTACTTGCACTTCTACAGGGAATGCTTAGGCCTTATCTGGTCCTGATCTGTATTATCTGGGGGTTGTAATGCTACTTTCTTTGAATATTAAATGCTGTATTCTTCAAGGATCTTAGGGTTGACTCAAGCTAGGGAGTTGCAAACTTTTGGCATGCCCTAAGCAATATGATCTTGGTTATGGTCTAATAACTGTCCTTCTAATCTAATCTTTGCAGGCTTCTAGTCCAGGTTTGGATCTGGCAGTACCACTGTAGGTTTGCCCTTTATTGGAGCTCTAGTAGACAGCTGCTAGAGCTGTCTGCAGCCTCTATCAGTTAACTAAAAAGCTCTTCACATTCAGAATAACAGAACTGCAGATTCACCCCTGATTCATGCTTCTTGCCCCTACACAGCTGCAGGCCTAGCCTCTCTTCTTCCTTGACCCTGCTCTGGGGTCAGAGAGACAAAGTTGCAGACTTACTCTTGCATTGCACTTCCTGCCCAGGTACACAGCTGTTGATTGCAGGCCTCATCCCTGATCTATGCTGAAAGGCTTGAAAACCAGCTACAGGCTCAGAGCAACACAGCTGAAGAATCTTCCCTGTGCCTGCTCCCTGGCTTGGTATATAGCAACAGGACCCAGTCTCCATCCATACTAAATCTGTGACCTTACTCCTAGGTCAGAATAACAAAGCTTCCGGCTTACCCCTTTTCCATACTCCCTGCTGCAGTACCTTGCCTCCACCTACGTTCTAGAAGGTCTGTATGGACCTTTCTGGTTTGAACCACTCCCTAGTACCTACAGGCGTTTGACTATTTCCTTGTGCTGACCTGGGCTGCAAAAACAATCCACTGTGATTTCTTTTTGATTTTCTTAATTACCACGTGGTCTGGTGTTTTTTGCTTGATCCTGGTTGGAGCAGTTGTGGAAGAGAGTTGGGCTTTATGCTGCATCTTACTCTGTCATCTTGTACCAGTCTCCCGGCTCATGTTTCCCACAAACTCTCTCTGGCTAAGTGTATTCTACCAAATCTCTATGACTCATACTCACACCCCAGTAAAACCTGGGAACATTCGTACATGACTTATTTTTCTCTCCCAAAAGGGGCCTTGAGTTCTACTGCAAGAATTCAAGATAATAAGACATCAACTCTATTAAAGCTTTTATTTAACCCAAGAATTCATAAAGTATGGTCCAGGTTTTCCTGGGGATCCTTTCAGGGGGTCTGCAAGGTCAAAAATATTTTCACACTAAGTCATTTAAATTTCTGTTATGGTAAATATCAACAGATATAACCTATGTAAATAAAAGCTCTTTTGGGTCTTCAATTATTTTTAAAAGTATAAAGGAGACCTGAGACCAATGTTAAAAGAAATCCTGGTTTAGGTCTCACCCTGATTAGTAAGGCAAACTCAGGTAAAGTTTAAAGGACTTTATTTAGCAGGCCAAGGCAGCAAGCATTGGGTGGGCGGGCCTTGATTCAAGCTATGCACTGCTTTTTATTAGACAGCAGTAAGCAACTTCCATATAAAGGTAAAAGTATTGATTGGTTTATGTAATTATAAGATGGATTAGGGCAACCTCAGCTCCTCCCTCATTAGTATCATGGGAGATGGCATTAGTGAGCATGCCCCCTGCCATTATAAACAAGGTTTTAAAATGGAGTCACCCAGATTGACTCAGTACAAATAGCTGACTTTTCACACCAAAGTGTTTGAGTTGATTTAATAGGATAAAAAGTGAAGAATGGGCTCCTACAATTTTCTGTCAGGAAAATTCTCCTCCCTTTTTCAAAGGGCATCAAGCATCCTTACCCACTGTTGTGTCTACCATCTGTCTTGGACCTACACAGTCCATTTGATCCACAATACCTGTGAAGAGATAGGTTCAGGTTGTTCCTTGATGCGTTTGGTTCCCTACTATTCTATCTAACAGCAGCAAGGAGAAAGTCTGTGGATTTGTATCCATGGTGAAGCCCTAAGCCACATTTCTTTCTGACATATATTTCCTTGCTATGTTTCTTTCTGCTCTTACTCACTGATGTATAGGCCTCTTTCAGGCTTTGTTTCCCTTGCCTCCTACTCTCACTGAAATTATCCTAAGGGACTGAATGATGCAGTAGTATGTAGGTATCCTTCACTTCATCTGGCTTTGTCACTGTTTTAGCATCTGTCTCTGATGCTAGCCTCTCAATGCATGCACATCCTTCTAGAGACGTATGTATGTACAAAATGGAAACAAGGGTAAATTTTAATAGATGATGAGTTCAGTTATAGACATATTGAGTTGGAGATGTCAGCAAGCCATCCAGTTAGAGATGTCTAGCAATAAGCTGATGTGAATCAAGGGCTCTGGGGAGAGGTTGGAGCTACCCATATAGATTTGGGAGTCATCTACATAGAGGCGATGAATGAAGGCAAAGAAATAGATGCAATCACTAAGGGATAGAAAAGAGAAAGAATTAAAGAGGCCCAAAACAGAACCTTGCAGGTAATATAGTAGAAAGAGCACTGAACTTGGAATTGGAAGACCTGTCTTTGAGTCCCTAGGCAAGTCAGCCTCTCTGACCCTTCATTTCTTCATCACATAATGAAAACAATAATGCCTGCTTACATCACAGGCTTGTGAGACTCAAATAAGATAATATCTGTGCAAGTACTTTGTAAAGCATAAATAAATTATTTTAAATATTTTGTCATGCCAGCTATTTTTAATCAAAAGCTTATCATTGCAAATTACTATTTATTAGTTTTAATGTTTCCACTTTGGTACTTTAATGGGTAACCCTTTTATATTTTAGTTAATCAACAAGTATGTAAGTATCTACTGTGATTGTGGATGAAATGTAATGGTTTGGTTTTTTTTATTTTGTTAAGATTGGAGAACCGAAATACTTTACAACCTCAGACAGAAGAAAGGGTCAGAGATGTGAAGTAAAGCTATATGATGAAACAGAGTCTTCTTTTGCAATGCTATGGTAAAATACCTTTCCTATTTTGAACCATGAATGAAAGCATAAAATAAAAGAATGAGATCTATTTAGTTATTTTAATGCTTTACATTACTAAGAACTACTTAAACTCATCAAGAGAAAAAGGTTTCCTTTCATAAAAAATTTTCTTTTTTTTAAAATAGGGAAGTGAAATAATGCCTTAAAACTTGAAGGCATTCACATGCTCATATATTTACTATTACTCTGGATATGTACTATAACACTATTCTTAGAATCTATTCTGTAAGACTTATACTGAGAGGTTATAGAGTCAAGAGTTAGAAGGAATCTTAGAGGTCATTTAGTCCAAACTCCTCATTTTATACATGAGGCAACTGAAGCCCAAAGAGGTCAAAGACCACACAAGTAGGAAGTAACAAAGCCAGAATTTGAACCCAGACTCTCTGCCTCTAAATCTAACATTCTTCCTACTGAAACACAACAAAATAATAAACTCTTTGGATATAGTTTTAAACAGACAATCATTTATATTTATATATATATATTTATAATTTATAACAAATTGTATTTAGTGAAGTGTTTTAATAGTTAGTGTATCCAATTTTCACTAGAACCTGTCATTCTCTGGTAGTAAGTTATGCTAAAATCATGTAAAGATGATACCAAATGTAACCTGTCAGAAATTTGATTCCAAAGATGGATTAAGTAATATTTAGAGCTAATAGATTCTGAAGAAAAAAGTCGTGAGTAGACTCTAATCAATGATATATAGAAAGGAGGTACCTTAACTCTTACCAGGCTCTATGGTACCATTTAATCCACAGTGCCAATTGGGTCTAAATGGCCTGAAAGAGTTAATAATTGCACATCATTAATTTTCAGGTAATGACAAGGCAGAGAGAAGAGTGGTAATTAATTAAAACAAAATGCCAAGAGAAAACATGTAGTTTTAGAATAAAAAATACATGTCTGATTTATGAATTAAATATTCTATGAAATAGATGCATGAATTACCCGTAAAACAGGAGAAAATTATAAAATACTAGGTTAGATATAACCTGAACATCAGTAGCTTCCACGGGAAGGAAGGTGAGAATGTAGTTTACTACAAAAAGTCAATTGGAATGGGAATCAATATAATGTGGAGCTATTTCCTTTATGCATGTTCTTTGGGGGTGTAGGGATTTTTTTTAGCTTCAGTACAGTCTACACTAAATATTAATGTGGTGTAGTAAATAGGGTGCCAGCCCTAGAGTCAAGAGGACCTAAGTTCAAATCTGGCCTCAAACACTTGCTAGCTGGGTGACCCTAGGCTAATGACTTAACCTTATTTGCCTCAGTTTCCTCATCTGTAAAGTGAGCTGGAGAAGGAAATGACAAATCACGCCAGTATCTTTACCAAAAAAAACCCCAAAAGGGGTCATGAAGAGTCAGATATGACTAAAATGACCGAATAACAACAACAACAACAACAAAATGTTAATGTAAGGAATAATTCTGCCAATATTAGTATCAGCAAAACTATTAGCTTGCAACAGTTATACAAAGACAATGTAATAATATGAGCAGTTCAGTACACTTGACCTCCTCTAAAACTGCAAACAGTATTCCTTTATTAGTTTTTACTAGTATATTCATCCTTTTACTAATTTCCTTTTATTTAGCTGGGATAATGAATCTATTCTACTTGCACAGAGTTGGATACCACGAGAAACAGGTATCATACTCATAGCTGTACTCAATATTTCCTTGTTGTTCTGACCCATAAGTATAAGACAAATACTAAAATAATAGGCTTTTCCCCCCACAGTAATATTTGCTGCAGATATAAGAATAAATTTTGATAAATTTCGAAGCTGTATGACTGCAACTGTCATCTCGAAAACCATTATCACAGCTAATCCAGGTAAAAATCTACAAAATGCCTTTCTGAAATTCACTTATTGTAGAGTCTAGTGATATAAATGAAGTTTGAATTTGAAGTGAGTGTGGTCAATTTAACATTTCCATAAGGTCTAATACTAGAATACTAGGGGCAGCTAGGTGGTACAGTGGATAGAATGCCAGGCCTGAAGTCAGGAAAATTCATCTTCCTGAGTTCAAATCTGGCTTCAGACACTTACTAGCTGTATGACCCTGGGCAAGTCACTTATTCCTGTTTCTCTCAGTTCCTCATCTATAAAGTAAGCTGAAGAAGGAAATGGCAAACCACTCCAGTACCTTGGCCAAGAAAATCCCCATATGGGGTCATGAAGAGTTGGACACAAATGAAATAACTGAAAACAACAACACTAGAATGTTTTAAATTAATCAGTCCACAAGCATTTCTTAAGGACCTACTATGTCCTAGGCACTGTGCTAAGCGCAGGGATAAAAAGACAAACAAAACCAATCCCGGCTCTCAAGGAGCTACTGGGGAAAAGTAAATACATACACACACACACACACACACACACACACACACACACACACACACACACACACACATTTACTAAAGGGAAAACTAGATAAACTAAACCACATTAATCTTAGCTATTTGTCAATGGTAAAGGATCATTGGGATCCATTTAAATGAACATATAAAACTATTTGAGAGAGAAGGCCAATCTGAATTATTTTAAAACTCTAAATTAAATTATTTAAACGAATGGTGTCAAAGTGAAATAGAAATTATCCTTGTGGGCTGCATATTGGCTTAGAAAACCATGAATTACCTTATCTATGTTGTATTTTGTTAAATATTTCCCAATTACACTTTAATTTAGTTCTAGCAACACTTTAAAGTTTTGCTGGCTGGAAGAGTTTGATACCATTTGATTTTAAATTAACTCAATTCCTTTGCTTTAAAGTGAATGTAGCATTAAGATTGGCCTTTTCTTCCAAATAGTAGAAATTAGTGTGGTTTAACATTATTAGTCTAATTTTATGCAAGAGTGTTGTTGAATCATTTCAACCATGTCCAATTCTCATGACCCCATTTGGAGTTATCCTGGCACAGATACAGGAGTGATTTGCCAAATTTCCTTCTCCTGTTCACTTTACAGATGAGGAACTGGGGCAGCCAGAGGTACATGACTTGCTCAGAGTCACACAGCTGAGAAGTGTCTGAGGTCGGATTTGAACTCAGGAAGAACAGTCTCAGATTCCAAGCCCAGTGCTCTTATCCATTGTGTCACCTAGCTACTTCGTGCAAGAGACTGCTCCTTTCATAAATGGCCATTTAATTGTTGAAAGAGGCAGATAAAGGACATATATGTAAAAAAGACAACTTGAGACAGTTCTGAGGACTTGAGAGAAGATTGCCCCTCAGATAAATATGCTGAGAGGAGGACCTGTTTAAAAGTTGTGTAAAAGCTTAAGCACTGACTGAAGATGGAGGGATGGCTGCAATGCATTGTTGTCCATCAGTTCATTTATGTTTTCATAGATATTTTTATGACTCTTTTCAGAGTTTTGTAGGATAGAGCTGAGAAACTATAAATCATAAAACTTTTGGGGGACTATGAGAATATTACATGCAGAGAGTGTGTAGGTGTGTTCTGTTTTGCCCATGTGAGTTATTTGTGTCTGCAGGGATATGTCTAAATGTGGCTCCTAGGGAAGGAAGAATATATATCTCTACAGTCTCCTCCCCCAACCCTTCTCCAAGGGAGACTTTGATTCCTGCCAGGAGGGGAAGTAGGAGGTTGGAGCCAGAAACTGGTCACTCTGCTCTCCTCAGAGAAAGGGAGTACCAGGCTATAATTTTATCTATCTGTTCTCTTAAGTATTGTGAGCCTAGGAGAAATAATTTTTAGATTCAAGTTGTGCTCTATCAAGTTGTGATCACTCTTCCTTAAGAGAAGAGGTACCTCTAGTTTTATATCCAAAGGCTTGACTCCTTTCTCACGAAATACCAGTTCCACAATGAACACATGTAGTAGATAGTAAATAAACCCATTTATCCAAATCAGTAGCAAACTAAATCAGAGAAAGCACATATTGGAGAATATATGCCAAACCATACACACAGAGTGAATAACATAACTTAGCTCAACCAAGAGTCTCAGATCTCACTCAAAGGCAAATTCCCTAAAGTCTTTCCTGTAGCTGGAAATAGGAATATCGTGGAAGTGCTGGCTCCTCTATGTTTTGGTGTCTTTCTAGGGTCTTTCTTTCCTTTAAGGACTAAAAAGAGTATGGAACAGCATGTCTTCTCTCTTGAGGCTAGAAGCCAGAACAGGATCTTTTCTCTTTCCTCTCACCAGTTTCAGCCCTCATAAAGGCAGACCAAGGGCACTAAGTAAGAGGAGAGCCTTATGCAAATGAGTTTTGAACCACCCAATGCCTGTATATGCTATCTGGTGTTAAACCTGATTAAACATGGATTTAGGATAAATTTCAATCCCAGTTAGAGATGTATCACTAATGCACTAAAAGGCCCTGATTTGAGCATTAGATTAGAAAATGTAAGTGACAGGAGATGAAAAACCGAGAAGCCAGAGATCAGAAGGATGAGAAGACATTCCAGCTACCAGGAAAGAAAAAGTGATAGTGGAGACTGGCCCCAGTGGCTTCAAAGGTGCAGAACAGGGGAGATTAAGATGATAAGAACAAGTGCTTCAGACTAAATGAGCCTGGGAGAGTTGATTGAAATCTGGTAAGTTTGAAGGAAGGCTGGGTAACTACTGGAAGCAAATTGTAGGAAACAATCTTCAGGCTATCTAAAGAGCTGACTGAGCTTGCTGTTCTTTAAGCTAGTTTAGACCTTGGGACATTGTCATTGTCATTGTCTTGAGACAAAGCCAAAGTGCTTTACAAATTTTTATCTTGTTTTGTCTCCAACAACCCTCGGAGGTAGATTATCTCCTTTTATAGCAGGGGAAACTTAAGCAGACTGAGGTTAACTATCTTGTCTAGGGTCACCTTACTAGTAAATTTCTGAGATAGGATCTGAACTAAAGTCATCTTGACTCCAGGTCTAGCTCCCTTATCTTCTGCACCACCTAATTGAAAGCCCTATAGATGCTCTGTGAGTTGATTGGAGGAAAACAGAATTTTATTTCTGTGGGAAGGTGGGGTAAGCAAGCCAGTCTTGAGCCAAAGAGGGGGGGGTCTATGTCACTTACACTATACTTGCATTTCCCTTTAGTAAAAACTTTCAAAGCTATAGTCTATTATTTTAGTATTACTTTTTACTAAAAATATTAAAAGCTGTCAAATTTGCCATACTTTCATGTCCGACTATTCTCTTAGATATAAATTCCTTGACCTTTTGTGGTCTGACATGGTACAAAATCATGTTGAAGTAGCCTATTTCCTTTTGGTAATTTCTGAGGGTTTTTTCTTTTTATTCTTTGTTATAAGGGATTGCTCCTTGGGAGGAAGATGGGAAAGAAATACATTGGGAAATATAAATGATGTGAAAACAAAAGAGAATAATTAAAATTTATTATTAAAAATGGCTACTATGCCAGTCTCTAAATGCACACTACCCTCAAATATATGTTTTATCCCTAAAGAATCTCTTTGAAAGGAAAATATATTTGTATAGTTACATATTAAAAAATAACTTTAATTATAGGTCAGACTGAGGTTTTATACAAGCCTGATTTTGCATGGAAAGTATGGCTTACATTCAAACCAATACAATCATTTTAATAAGTAAACGTGTAACCTTTTGACCCAGCAATAACAATTCTAGGCCTATACCCTAACAAGATAAAAGAAAGAGGAAAAGGACCCACGTATAGACAAAATATTTATAGCAGCTATCTTCATAGTAGCTAAAAACTTGAAATAGGAATACCTATATATTAGGAAATGGCTAAACAAACTGTGGCATATCAATGTAATGGAATGTCATTGTGCCATAAGAAATGACAAAATAGACAGTTTCAAAGGAAACTGGAAAGACCTCTATGAACTGATTTAGAGTGTGATTTAGAGTTCCTAGAAGAACTAGGAGAAAAAAAATTATACAATGACATTATAAAGAAAAACAACTTTGAAAGATTTTAGAACTCTGGATCAATGCAAAGATAAACCCATGATTCCAAAGGACTGAAGATGAAACATGTTACCCATCTCCTGCCAGAGAGGTGATGGACTAAGAATATATAATGGGACATACATTTTTGGATATAGCCAGAATGGGATTTTATTTTGCTGAATATGAGGGTTTTCTTTTTTTGTTGCTCAATGGGGTAGGGGGTCAAGGGAAGTGGGAGAGGCAGCGACAAATGCTTATACAGAAATAAAATTTTTAAATGTGTAGTCCATTAGCTACTCTAGTCAGTGCAATGATCCAAGACAATTCCAAAAGGACTTACAATGAAAAATGCTATCAACATCCAGAGAGAGAACTGATGAACTCAGTGTAGATTGAAGCATACTTTTTTTACTTACTTTATTTTTCTTGCCTTTTTTTTTTCAACATGGCTAACATGGGAATATGTTTTACATGACTTCACATGTATAATTGATATAATATCACTTTCCTTCTCATTGTGTGGTGCAGGGCCTGGCGGGAGAGAGAATTTGGAACTCAAAATTTTTTTAAATGAATGTTAAATAAAGTATAATTATGAAAAAAGTATAGTCCATGATTACTACTGAGAATGACCTCTCTGCTAAATTTGACATTGTTAACCACCTACTCCTCCTGGCCACTCACTCACCTCTTATATTTGGGTTTTCAGGATATTTCTCTCTCCTGGTTCTCCCTGTCTGATTAATGCTCCTCAGAATCCTTTGCTGATTTTGCTAATCTATGCCACACGTCTACTAATTGTAGATGTAACCTAGGGTCTGTCCTGACTTTTCTCTTCTTTCTCTACTCTCTCTCTCTGTCTCTCTGTCTCTCTGTGGGGTTCAACTATCAATTAGATCTATGTATCTAGTCCTAGTTTCTGTTCTGAGTGCCAATTCCACATCACCCACAGCATACTGGACATGTCAAACTGGATGTCCCATAGACATCTCAAATTCCACAACCAAAATAGACCTCATTATCTTTTCCCCAAGGCACAGGTCTGATCATGTCATCCCCTACTCAACAAACTCCAGTGGTTCCCTCTTGCCTCTAGGATCAAGTATAAATTCCTCTGTTTGACATTTAATGTTTTTGATACCTTGTTCTCTTCCTACCTTTACATTCTTCTTCCACTTTACTCCCTTTCTCAAACTCTGCAATTCAGCCATATTGTCCTACTTGCTGTTCTGCCCACATAACGATCCCATCTCCATGCCTTTTCGCTAGAGGCTCTCCATGCCTAGAATGAATCCCCTTCTCACCTGGTTTCCTTAAAGATTCAGCTCAAGTGTCACATTCTTCCTGAAGCCTTTTCTAGTCCTCCCCCACTACCCCCTCCCCTCCCCGCCAGTTTCCTTTCTGACACTACCTTGTATTCATTTTGAATATATTCTGTATGTATTTGTCTGTATGCACGTTGTCTCTTCGAACCCCACCCCACCCATTAGACTGTAACCTTCTGAAGTTAGTGAACTATTTAGCTTTTGTCTTTCTATCCCCAGAACTTAAAATAGTCCCTGGCATATAGTAAGCCCTTAATAAATGATTATTCATTAATTTTATTTCGTTTATTTTGAGAGTAGGTCTACCTATCCTGCCCAGTCAGGAAACTGTTAACAGCCATTCACAGCCAGGATCTCACTACTGATGTGCTAGGGAGCTTTGACCCATCCCATTTCTGAGCCAGTTTGCCCCTCCTTCGTCATCCTAGTCTTCCCTCCCAAGGTTCCCCATATTGATGCCAAACTTAGCATGGTAACCAGATCATCTTAGCACACTGTAGCTCGAACCTCCTGAGATCCAATAGTTCAGCCTCCTCAGCAGCAGGCGTTACAGGTGTTAGCCACCGCACCTGGTTGTTGATTGGTTTGTGAAAATCCTGTCATAGTAATTTTTCTTTCTATATTGAATAATGTTTATTTCAAATAAAACCTAGTTGTAATATAAATAATTATGTTTTGTGAAAGACCATTCGATATTAGTAACCTTTTATAATGTAGTTATCTCAGAATTTGATTTTCTTATAAATAACAAGTGCCTGTATAGAAAACAAGTGATAATTTTTATTAAGAATTTAAAATATATCCTACAAATTTAATTTCATAATCAAATTTTTCTAGCTACAATTTCTAAAAGTTTATCATTGCTTTCTTTTCTGAGTAAACATTTTAGGAGCTCTTGAGCATTTTTCCTCATTCTAATTTCTGCAGTTAGCTAACTATATAATATTTTGGATTAGAGGAAAACTATATGGGCAAGGTAAAGTTCTAGATATCCTAAACAAGTTTTCTAGTTGACTCTTGTTAATTTGGCTTATGTTTTTGTAGGTCTTCTTGTTTTTACTATACAGAATGATCCAAGAAGCAAAAAGTCTAGGCAGCTAGGTGGTACAGTGAGTAGATTGCCAGACGTGGAGTTAAAAAATTCTGAGTTCAAATTCAACTTCAGACACTTCCTAGCTGTGTGACTCTGGGCAAATCACTTAATCTCTATCTGCCTTAGTTTCCTCATCTATAAAGTAAGGATAATAATGGTACCTACTGCCTAGGGTTGTTGTGAGAATAAGATGAGATCATATTTGTAAAGTGATTTGCAGCCTTAAAGTGCTATATAGATACTAGCTATTATTTCTATTTAGTGGACAACATTTATTTATGTTATTTTTCTTTGTTAAGACACACCAGAAGCTAATATCCTATCAAACTTTGCAAGAGAAAATGCAGAAGCCACAGCTCTAGATGATGAAATTGAGGCTCAATTAAAAGAATCCATAAATTGTAAGTGATTCTTTAAATGTTCCTTGCATTTTTTGACAGGCCAAAATCTTAGTCTTTGAAGTTTGGTTTGACATAATGGGACTTTAATTACAGCAAAGGAAATCATATTTATATTTTATAATTGTATTATCTTCCCTAAATGAGGTGATATTGCTAGAGTCTTCTATTTGTTATTATCTGTAATGTAACAAGTACTCTATTTAGTCTTATCTCTCATTTATGTGAAGTTGACTGGGGTAACAGAATAAAGACACATTTCACTTTGCTTTCAAATGAAACTTCCTAACAAATTTAATAGATCAAAAGTCTCATCATTACAGTGAACACTGAATGATAGACACATCTTGTCATCTCAGAAGGCCAACAATTGAATTGACCTAGAAATGAAACTAATAGCTCATCATATAGACATGGTCACCCTGAGCTATGCCAAAAACAAACTTTGTTATTGCTTTTTCTTTGTATGCTGTAACATGTTCCATGCCAACTCTTTTTGCTGTTGGACCTCACAATTACAAAGTGATCAATACTTAGCATCCATCTTATTATCCACAAGGAATGACTGGCATAGCATAGTTGTAAGCATAGTTGTATTTGAGTGTGAAACAGTAACTTAAAAGATGTCAGGTCATTTTGACATAGTCCAGTAGCTACATCAAAAATTCTCCATGAGACCCAAGTACATGCTTTGGAAGGGAGGTGGAATCTCTGTTGACTTGTGTTTCTATCCTTGATTCTGTAAGGGCAGCCAAAATCATCCAACCCAAAGTCTTATTGCATGGAAACACTTTTTTACACTACCAAAATTATTCCAGAGTGTTACAAAAAGAAAGCTTGACTGATGTATTTTTCCACATTAAATTTTCCTCTTTTTCTCTTTCTTTGTCAATTTCTGCTTCAGTCTGGTTCTATCTCTCATGTATACTATTACATGACTGTTTCATACCAGGCTGTTCTTGCCTGTGTCTATCACTATCCCTGTTGTTCTAACTTCTTATCCTATAATTTTCTTTCCTAAATCCAAGATCCCATTTCCTGTTCTTCTGTCAAGCTTTCCTCAATAATACTTATTCCCACAGTTGACAAGCTAATTAGATTCATAGCATTAGTATCTATTCTTATAAAAACTTTTGTTTCTCTCTAGTACCATTTCTAATTTCTTCTTAGCAAGAAAAAGGAAGACAAGTGGGAAAAAATGGACTTTAAGAGACATTTTTTTAAAGTGATGTTACAGTGTGTTTGAAAGCAATCATGTAATTGGTCTTAGGATTGCACACTCAAATCAATATTCAAATACATTAAATAAATGATCATTTGTCATACTAGCATACTAGTTATGTTAAGTGATACATAAAAATATCATATGCTGAAAGTAACAACAAAATTGTGAATGTTTTAGGGTAGCAGTAATTTATAAAATAGTACTCTGAATAGAAGATAGAGTTAACATCCATGTGAAAGTACCTTATTGCATTCTTATTGAGCGGCACATGCAAAAATATAATGAAATATTTGAATTAAAAATATAATAAATTTCAATACAATTAATAAATGTTAACATTAGCTTGCTCTTTCATTTTACATTTGTTAAATTTTATTTTATTTTTAATTTTGTTATTAGAAATGATGAAGTGACACATATCTTTTTACTTTTAGTACAGGCAATAGTTGATGTGTATACAGTAGAACAATTAAAGGCAGTAGCCTTGAAGAGTGAGGGAAAAACTTATCCCTTCTATGGCATCCTTTATGCCCACATTTCCACACTGAACATTGATAATGAAACTGTGAAAATAGCACGAAACAGATGGTAAGTAAACAGGTTACTTTGTCCCCTTGATAGATATCCTCTTTCACTCTCATGCACACATACACACAAGCACATGCTACATCTTCAATCTTTCTAGCTCTTTCCCTGCTGCCCTTTTTTGGGTATTTCCTGTCTTTAAACAACCTTCACTTGTGAATGCCAACTATTAATCAACAAGATGAAAGGCAGAGAGATTAGATTACGTTTGTTAGGTCACACAGGGAATGACAGCAACAAAATTTGAACTCAAATCTTTCCTAACTCCAAGTCTGGCACTGTATTTAGTGTCCATGGGGGAAAAGTCTCACCTCTTCTACTTAAGGTATGATGTTGGGCAAGTCATTTATCTCTCTTGGGTTATTATCTTATCTTGTTATTAACTGCCCCTTCTATCTCACAGGATTATAGTAAAAGTCAAATGAAATTATGAATGCAGAAACACTTAAAAAATTGTAAAATCCTATAGAAATGTAATAATAATAATAGCTAATGTGCATCATGATTTATAGTTTACAAAGCACTTTCCTGTGGTTATGGTTATGATTTATTCTGGACCTCTGATTTCACTGGGGAAGGAAATTTCCTGGTAACGAAATGCTCTTCACCTATGCAAATCAGCAGCTTATAATGTTAGATTTGTGTGGGCCATTGAGAGATAAAATGACTTATCTATGGTCATCCATCCAGTTTGTGTCAGAGATGGGATCAGGTCTTTCTGATTTCTGAGGACAGTTCTTCCACTACTTCCCATTAATTTTTCTTTTGCTCTCATGCCTGTGCCACTTAAGGGCGGGAACATGAGGAATGGAAAAATTCACTCAAGTTGCTTTTATTTGTCTTTAAACTTCTTTTTGGTCTCAAGTAGGAAAAAAAAAGCCTTAATGGAAAGGGATATTACCTTTAGTTGTTCTAGACTCTCTTCCTTAGCTCCTAGGGGGTCCTAGGGCTCCTCTGTCTCTCCTGAAAACAAATACAAAAGAACCTATATTAGTGATTTCTTATCCTTTTTCTACCAAAGTCTAGCCATAGATTGGCTTGTCTAAAAAAGCTTCCCTTAACATCTCTTAAATTGGAGTGGTAGAAGGAAAGAATTTGTCCATATCTTGGTTAGTATAAAGAGGAGCTCAAATTTATATGATACTTTATAGTTTATAAATGTTTAGTAGGCTCCTAAAACCTAGAGATAGCAGATCCCATCTCTATTTGGCCTCCTCTTTTCTTTCTTTATTCCTCTTCCTCTCACTTCTACTCTGTGTTTTTTTCCCTAAAAGACCATATTGGAAAAATATTCAGAGCAAGTTAAAAACATCGTCAACAATCAAACATTCTAGTCAGCTTTGATCATCAGGGGTTTGCAGCATTGTAATGTATATTTCATTATTTCCATTTTTCTGTCTCTTACAGTTCAGGCTGTGGTTATTTTGTAAGTGAAGCATCTAGCACTTGTACATCTTCATTCTGCAACAAAGATTCTTCAGGACATAAATCTGTATTTCTCAGCTTTGATTTGCTTATTGATCTCACTGATCACACTGGCACTCTTCATTCCTGTAGCCTTACAGGAACTGTTGCTGAGGAAACTCTAGGCTTCACGGTAAATATAAAAAGAATTTATAAATATTCCCACAGTAGCCCATTGTCCTTCATTTTAAGAACAATTGTTTTCTATGTTCTTCCAACATGGCTAAAGATATCAATCAGGTTATTTTAACACATAACACAAATGCATTCATGCATAGGATGGCCTATTTTAAACAAACTCTTTTTAAAGTCACACTGGGCCAACAACAGACATATATTAGAATCACATTGAACACAGTGACTGAGATCTTCGGTCAAAGAAAATTATGCTTAAACATAATTCTCAAAGTAGGTAAATGATGAGCATGGCTGAATTCCACTAATCACAAAGTAGTGTGAAGTACTGATATTAAGTTTCTTGAAAAAGATAACTACAGGGGCAGCTAGCTGGTACAGTGGATACATAACACTTGCTAGCTGTGTGACCTTGGGCAAGTCACTTAGCCCCAATTGCCTCACCAAAAAAAAAAAAGAAAAGAGAAAAAAAAAGAAAAAGATAACTATGAGTTTCCTATGTGGAATCTTATATAACATAACTAGCAAACACTGGGGTGTAATTAACTAGTGCACTTGGGCATGAGTATTAGTTTCTTAATGTAAAAATTTCCCATGATATTTTTCAACACATTTTTGTTTCAAATATTGTTTCTTCCTTATTAAGGGGGAGCATTTCCATATTGAGCACCCTGATTGGCTGCCAGTGAGTTACTCCCTATTCAGGTTCATTACCTTCTTTACCTCCCTTTACTTACCACTCTTATCAGAAGAACTGGTCAAAGATCAGTGCAAATAAAATTACTTTTTCAGTTAATAATCTTAAGTTTTATATTATCCTTATGTTATAGTTTCTATTATATGTTTGATCTTTTTTTTAATTAGGTACATGAATTTCTTGCGCTAACAGAAGAACAGAAAACAACAATAAAGTGGCAATTTCTCTTGGAAAGAAGCAAAATTTATTTAAAAGTTGGTGAATTTTGTGGCAATATTTTATGTTATAAATCCAAACAAGTTCTAATAAGACACAAGTGCATGCCTCTTGAAGGAACCGACTTTGTGTAATTGTTATATGTGGATACAGTAAATCAGGGAATTGATTATTTTAATAATGCCTGATACCCAGGTGTACAGAACTATGCATGTGCTGGAACGCAAATGGAAGGATAAGTATTTTCCACTAACCTAAAGAAAATAAATAGATCAACAAGAACAACAATAACAAAACTATCTCCCCAAGTATCTTAACCCTTAGTATAATTAACAAACACATGTTGGAATCAGCCAAGCTAAAATCCTTCACCTCTAGCTCTTATAAAAACATTTTTTTTAGCAACTAGCTGTCATTTAGGAAATTTATCATCAGACACCATAGCCAGCTACCCTAGGGAACACTGCCAGGTCCTAGCTCCTCCCTTGAGTCATTGGTGTATTATTAATGAACTCTTAGTCATCTCATATTGCCCTTGATCCCAGGGGTCCCATATCAAACCAACCAAGTCACCATCTAGTAAGTTCACATTATAAACCGCATCTTTCTCCAGTATATTTATAGTGTGTTTCCCATAAGGTATAGAGGGTCACTTTTGTTTTAAATGTCCCACAGTAGCATGACATTAAATGATCTTAAGCAGCTGCCTTTACATTAAAAGTACTAGGCAATTGAATTCCCAGACTTGCATTTTCTTTTGTAGTCTGATTCCCAAAAGATCCCAGAAATTGAAGAGGAGAAAACCCATGCTGTTTCAAATATGTGTCATACACAAATAGAGAAAGAACTGATAAATGCAAGCTAAGCCCATGTTAAAACAACAGTCAGTACATTTTGTCTTGCTATCATATACTTTAAAAAAAGAATACTTATGTAAGTTCCTTGAGACAGGGATTGTTTCATTTTTGGTTTTGTATTTCTAATAGAGTTCTACATATAGAGGTTAATAAATATTGAATTCAACTAAATAGTCCCTATTTCAAAAGTAAGACAATTCCCAAAGCACTCTCCCCCCAAAACAATCTTGGATAGAGTATTTTCAGCTTGGCAAATAGTAGGTGCTTAATAAATATTTATTGACTGACTGTAGGAACTTGTCTCCTTGATAGATATTCTCTGTCTCTCTCTGTCTCTCTCTCATACACACACACACACACACACACACACACACACACACACACACACACACACACACACACACACACACACACACACCCCTTCAATCTTTCCCAGCTACTTTTCTGTTGCCCTTTTTGGGGTATTTCCTGCCCTTAAACAACCTTTGCTTGTGTACTAATCTTTCTCTTGAGCTTCTATACCACATCATCAACTGCCTAGTTAACATTTCTACCTGGATATCTCAAAAATATCTCAGACTCAACATGTTTAAAATGTAACATTATCTTCTTGCCTAAACCTTCCCCTCCTCCAAATTTCCCAGTTTCTGTTGAGAGAACCACCATCCTCAGTTTCACAATTCTAGGGTCATCTTCAGCTCTTCACTTTTTCTCATTACCATATCAATCAGTAGCCAAGTCTTATCAATTCTCTCTACAGTGTCTTTTGCATTCATCCTCTCTTCTCTACTCATGTAACCAGCAGTCTAGTTCAGGCCTTCATCACCTCTTAAATGGACCATCACAATAGTCTCCCAATTTGTCTCCCTGCTTCTTATCTCTCTCTCCTTTACAATCCATCCTCCACAAAGCTGCCAAAATAATATTGCTAAAGCACATGTCTGAACACGTCACTTCCCTGCTTGAAAAGCTTCAACAGCTTCCTATTGCCTCTAGGACAAAGTACAAACTCCTCAGCTTGGCATTTAAAGCCTTTCATAGCACAGCTCCAGTCTATCTTTCTAGAATTATTTCATATTACTCCTCTTCTCTCACCAAACTGGTCTACTTACTGTTTCCTGCATTTTTCATTCTATATCTTACCTCTGAGTCCTCACATGGGCAGGTCTCCTAAACCTGGAAGGCAGTCCCTTCTCACTTCCACCTCCTTAGCAATCCTTAGCTTCCTCCAAGTTTCTTCTCAGACTCCACACCCTTCAGTAAAGCTTTCCTGATCTCCCTAGTTCTTAGAGGTCTTTTCCACCTAGGTTCATTGTATTTACTTTTCTATGTAAATGTTGTATCTCACCACTGGAATGTAAACTCTTTTTCGGAAAGGACGATTTTTAAGTTTGTGTTTGTATGCCCAGAATCTAGCACAGTGCTTGATTTGAATTGTTGCATTCTGAGGTACTTTAAAAGGGATGTAAATAAAATAAATAAATAAATGAATGAATGAATGAAAGGGATGTAAATTTAAATAATTTCAAAACACATGCTGGTAACAGGTATATCTTCTGTATGAAACTAAGTATTGATCTAATTCATATTTTTATTGTTTTTATACCAGTCTTTTCCACTTTACCCTGACCCTGACCCCCACCCACCACTCAGTGAGATTACTCTTGTAAGGAAAGGAAAGAAATAATTTAACAGAATCCTCACATCAATTCCAAATGACAATATACACAACATTCCATATAAAGTTCCCTAAATCTTCAATTTAAGGGGAGAGGTACATTTCCTCATCTCTTTTCCTGGGTCAAAATCATTCATTATAGGGGCAGCTAGGTAGCGCAATGGATAGAATATGGGCCCTGAAGTCAGGAGGACCTGAGTTCAAATCTGGCCTCAGACCAAACACTTGACATTAGCTGTGTGACCCTGGGCAAGTCACTTAACCCCAATTGCCTAAAGAATAAAAAAAAGCCTACAAAATAATTGATTATAATTATAGGTATTTATTTTATCAGTGGCTATGTATATTTGTGTTGTTTTAGATTTAATAATGGAATCCTGATGTCTATTGGATCTATGTTTGTATTGTGGTGAAAATGTATGTTAATGCTTACAAAATTTACCATCCAGTTCTTCAAATACAAGGGAATAAAGTTTTTTTTTTCTTTTCTCCCATACAGTTTGTGTTATCACCCAAGGCAAGAGGTGGACTGAGAACTCATGTGCTTTCATGTAAGCTTGCTGATCCTATTGAAGCCAGTAGGATATTATCTGGAAAAAGTAACAAATTTGAAAATCTGAAAAGCCATTAGAAGTTTCAACTACTTTGAAAAAGGAATATGTTTTTTTTAAAAGTGAAAAATATTTAAATTCTACTTTGTCCAAATATTGTATCTTATTGTTGTGGTAAATTCTTATAATGTTTCCTTCTTCTCTTTATTTAAGTTCAGTCTTTGCAGGGTTAGACAGAGAGTTGTGGGGAAATGGCCACTGAACTCACATTCTCTAAAATTCTGTCTACTGGTTTAGGTACCATATTTCTTCCAAAGGGCATTGGAACATGTTCATCAAGACTAATAAACCTTATAGATCTTTCCTACCAGAATGTGTGAGTTCCTTTTCCTAGCCACTTTGTGCTTCCCATATCCTCCCCCCAACTTTATCTTTCCAGAAGAAAAACTTTATAGCTTAAAATCTTAATTTCACTGCAGAATGAATGTGGCTTTCTAAAGTAGAAAAATAATATCTGTGACATGGAAAGAGAATTGTCATCAGTGTCAGAGTGAAAGTTGAAGTAGTCCATGGACAGTATGGTATAACTGATTTGACAGTACCTTCCTGGGGGGAAAGTCTACCTTCTATGATGGCAAAACAGCATTATCCACGTTTTACTAAAGTCTTGATGACTTGCAGATTTACATTTAAGAGTCTTGAGTCACCTGGGAGGAGATTGGCTTCAAAGGTTTTACTAGTTTAGAGTAGTACTGTAGTCCCAGGAACTTTAAAGGTTTTAGAAATTCCCAAGGATATTAAATTATGAGTCTCTCTTAACTCAGTTTTTCTCATACCTGCACCAAAGAAGTTGATCAGTTATGAACAGCAACACATAGCTCTTGGTGTTCTACTGTACAGAACTCAAATTGGGAAGATCAACTACTATAATGAACATTGTTCCACAGTGTGTAAGAATTATGTCAACATTTGGGGGCCAGTAATTCAAAAGTTATCACTTCATCATCAAGACTGAATGTATAAAGTAAGTGAAAATCTTTTATAATCTTAGTGTTGGCAGATAGAACTTGTACTCAATTTATCAATGAAACCTGCTTTATCATATCTTTGTAGTATGTCATATTTTGTGATATATGATTCAATCCAAATTCAAGTAATAATAAGACATGTTAGAAAATTGTCTTTTCAGTATGGCACAATGGAGAGAACTCTGGATTTGGAGTCAAAAGATGTGGATTCAAGTTCTAACTTGGCCATTTACTTATTTGTGTGACCACAGTCAAGTTCCTAAACAATGGCGGCTCATTCAGCTTTAAAATTAATATAGTAATACCTGTAATGACTACCCCAAAGGGTTGTTATAAGGAAATGCTTTATAAATCTTAAAGTTCTATATAAAGTATGAATTATTATTGTTGCTAAAATAAGCTTACATCCTCATGGAAGTACATGGACTATTCTACCAATATACTAAAGAACTGCTTCCCTTTTGCTAGAGTGACCTTAGTTCCTAGGAATGCATAAAACCATAGATTTAGAGCTAGAAAGACCTTAGAGGTCACCTAGTCCAATCCCCTCATTTCACAGAAGAGGAAACTGAGGCCCGGAGTGATTAACTTACCCAAGGTTACACTGGTATTGTGGGTCCCCTTACACTGTGACCGTGGCAATTCATTTCATAGTGTATGCTTTGTGGTTTCTATAATCCTTCTTACTGTATTTAAAGGGATATGTTTGCTTCTCGAATTTTGAAACTGCAAATCTCAGCCTTTCTCACTTTGTCAAATATAAATGAATTTATAATATCATTGTGAGAAAATATGCCTATGTACACCTATATTTATACATAGCCATATTAATAATTAAAAGATTATAGATATTAGAAATTTATTCTCCCTCCCCTATAGAATCTGATAATTCCTATCCATATGGGAAAAAGCCATAAGTACCTTCTTTGATCTTCACTTGAGAAATCCAGTGACATTATTTTGACACAAGTGATCGATAAATCTTATAAGGAAAGATCTTCCATGTCCCCTGTATGACTCTAAACATTAGGCTATAAGCCAGAGTGTGGTTATCTATGTTGACCTGAGAATTTAGCCAGTTCTCAGGAGATGTGCTCTGGGAACCTGGCCAGTTCATCAGAACATATCAGGTTAATTAACATTCTAATATGTTTTGCTTGCTCCAGGAACTTGGCCAGTTCCTGGACCAAGTAAAAACATCTACTAGAATCATGGGCACCTCCTGGCATGGGGCCTTCTTTGTTAGAGGCCCTATTTAAATCCTAATTGGGAAAGCCATCTTTGGATTCTCACCCATGGAGAGGATGCTCTGCCTGGGACTTTCCCAATTGGGACCCTGAAAGCTGTACCCAGGGAATTCCCAGCTTGGACTTCAGATGTTGGTACTTCCCTGAATTGGTGATGTTTTATTATATTATTGCTATTCTTTGTATTCTTAGCCTGACTATAGTCATATAGCTAATGGTATGTTGCTGTAAATCTACCTTTTCTGTACCTATATTATAATCTTAATTAAAGCTACCTTCACTTCTCTCTCTAGGAGTGTGTCTTATTGTAGGAGCAAATCTGAACCACATTTTTCTTCCTTAATCACACAACAAGACAGGCAATTTAAGAAGTAGAATTCCTTGGAAAGACCCACCTAGGCCCAAATAACCCCCAAACAGCTGAGATCCTATATAATAGGGACTAATAAAACGATGGCTTTGCCATTCCAAAGCAGAAATCCTTCAGCACAGAGCTATGTGCTATCGCCAGAAGTGGCTAGGGGAGCTCAGCTTTACTCATGCTCCATGGGATTCTTCCCTCTCCATTTTAGATAAAATCTTCCACATCCCCCTTGGTTTTTTTAAAATTATATTTTTTTAGTATTTTGTTTTTCCCCAATTACATGTAAAAACAATTTTTAACATTCATTTTTTAAATTTTGAGTTCCAAATTCTCTCTCTTCCTCCCTCCCCATTCCCCTTACTGAGATGGCAAGCAATTTGATATAGGTAGGATATATATGTGTAGTCATGCAAAACATATTTCAATATTAGTCATATTATAAAAGAAAACACAGACAAAAAAGTAAACCTCAAGAAAAATAAAGTAAAAAAAAGTATGCTTAGCTCTGTGTTCAGATACCATCAATTCTTTCTCTGGGGATGGATAGCACTTTTCATCATAAGTCCTCTAGAGCAGTCTTGGATCATTGTATTGCTGAGAATAGATAAGTCATTCACAGTTGATCATCATACAATATTGCTGTTACTGTTTACAATGTTCCCATGGTTCTATTCATTTCACTTTGCATCAGTTTATATGTCTTTCCAGGTTTTTCTGAGAGCATCCTGCTCATCATTTCTTATATCACAATAGTATTCCATCATAATCATATACCACAACTTGTTCAGTCATTCCCCAATTGATGGGCATTCCCTCAATTTACAATTTTTTTGCCACAAGAAAAGAGCTTCTATAAATATTCTTGTACGTACACGTCCTTTTCTTTTCTTTTTTTTTTTTTATCTTTTTTGGGATACAGACCTAGTAGTGGTATTGCTAGGTCAAAAGGTATGCATGTTTTGTAGCCTTTTGGTTATAGTTCCAAATTGCTCTATAGAACAGTTGAATCAGTTCACAACTCCACCAACAATGCATTCATGTCTTAATTTTTCCACATCGCCTCCAACATTTGTCATTTTCCTTTTCTGTCCTATTAGCCACCTAATAGGTGTGAGGTAGTACTTCATGTTTTAATTTGAATTTCTCCAATCAATAGTGATTTAAAGCATTTTTTCATATGGTTATAGATAGCTGATATAGACAGCTTTCACCTGAAAACTGACTGTTCATATCTTTTGATCATTTATCAGTTGCAGAATGACTTCACATTCCCCATTATTAACCAAACTTGAATAAATAGGAAACATTTTAATCTCAAATTCTCATCCCTTTCAACCAATTACTTCAATCAAAGATCCCAAAATATAGATCTAGAAGCAGAGGTAAGAAATAGCAACTTACTGGGGCAGCTAGGTGACGCAGTGGATAGAGCACCGGCCCTGAAGTCAGGAGGACTTGAGTTCAAATTGGCCTCAGACCAAACACTTGACACTAGCTGTGTGACCCTGGGCAAGTCACTTAACCCCAATTGCCTAAAAAAAAAAAAAAAGAAAAAAAGAAAAAAAAAGAAATAGCACCTTGCTCCTCCTCATCATTCACTATCCTGGAACCCATGAAGCAACTCTAATATATGGCAGAGATGGAACTTTTTTCAATGAAAAAACAAACAAACAAACAAACAAACAAAAACCTGCTGAGACTCCATTTTTGCACCTGCTATATAGCATCACCTCAATCTTGACACAGATTTGCAGGACTGTAGCATTTTATTCTTATCTCCAGTCTACCTCAAACCTCAGGAGGCTGTACAGAATATCTTTGAATAAACCTCTTTTGGACAAATCTTACACGTGGATTTCCTTCTTTGCCTTTTTCCTGGTTTGTACATTGAGTTCCCACATAATCACTCATTTGGAAAAGCTTTTTCTGCCAAATGTAGGAATTCAGAGAGCCCTTAAGCTACATTATGAATGGCCATAATTTAACAGGTTCCCAGTGGTAGATCCAGAATTCAAAGCCAGGTTGTCTTACTATGCATCTAGCACTCTTTCCTCTGCACTATGCTAGGGATTTGCATTTAAGACTGAAAACTTTATAACCCTTTCACTAAAGGGACAAGGATCTTTCTATGTGAACTTATGACATATGACTCCTCCATAGGACTGAGAGGAATTAGTGTTGCAAAGTCTAGACATGATTTCAAAATGAATTTACAGGTACATGGTAGCTGTCTTTTACAATACTGCTATTTTGTTAATAAATTGAAGATTGCAAATGGATGGATACCTAAAATTCAGATATAAATTTATTCCCAGAATTGAAAGTACTATTCCTATCAACCTCATCTTTTACTCTCTAAAAGAAAAATAAATTTCCCTCATCTTTGGGGCTACCATTCTTCCTGTCTTTATTTCTACTAGAATTTCTATATTGCTGTACCAGTCTCATATTATATATTGTTCTACTATTTTTTATACTTCTTGAGATAAAACAGGTTAATTTTTGAACTTTGCCTAACCTTCTAGTAGTACTTTTACATTGCCCAAATATTTAGTAAGATAGTCTTCCTTAAATTGTTTTACTAAGTATTCCAGTTTGATGCCTTATAGCCATGTTAAGTTTAATAAATATTTTAATATACTTTTATCTGGCCTTGATAAATGATTAACAACATTGGAAATGGTTAACAATGATGAAAATGATATCTTAAAATATTCCATTTTAATCTTGGCTTTATCCAGTTTACTTACTAAACTTAATCTGGAGTTTAATCACCCAGTCTCAAAACCTTTGGGTTATTTCTTCCTAGTCCCTTTTCTCTGATAGCAAATCAGTTACCTGATTTTGTTCATTTCAGTGTTAGAATCTGCTCCCTTTTCTACCACAACTGTAGTATCAAAGCCTTCACTACCATCTTCCTGGACTGTGATTACAATTGCTTCTTAACAGGTCTTTTCCTCCCCACTCTTACTCTCCTTCAATCCATTCTTTGTATTGCTACTAGAACGATCTTTTTTTTTTTTAATGTGCAGATATAGTCATATACTTATTATTTCTCAGATCAAAAATCTTTAGTGGGTGACAGGTGCCTCACACTTATCATGTAAGATCAGATTTCTGTCAGTCAAAGGTCCTCCATGTCTTCCACAATCTGTCGCCAGTCTTCCTTTCCAGTCTTATCTCATATTATTTCCCTCCCCACACTTTGCGCTTTGGTCAAAGTGTACTTTTCTTTGTCTCTTCCTCATTCCTACCCTCCATATTTTTGTTGTCCTACACTTTTTTATTTTCCAATGTTTTATTGATATTTTCTATTTTTTCATCATTGTCACTTCCCCCAAATTCCTTACCCTCATCCTGAACAGAACATTCCCTCCTAACAAATAAGCATAGTCAAACAAGACAAATCATACCAATGGTCATGTCTGAAAAAAATACATAAATATGTATGTTATATATAATTCATCCTGCACTTCCCTGACCATGCTTTTGGTTCTGCTTCTTATACCTGAAATGTCCTTTTGCCTCCCTGTGGGTTAGACTTCCTATCCATCCTTTAAAGCCTAACTCAAATGCTATTTCTTTCACTATGGGTCCTTAGATACCCCTATTGGAAATTACCTTCATCTGTGGACCTCATTGTTTTGCACTTTTGTGACACACATATAATATTATGTATCAAAGTTATCTATGTTTGTGACTTCTTCCTCTACTTGACAGTATTTACTTGAGGGCAAGAACTAGTCTTATTTAAACTTTGTATGTACTTCCTCCAGTGCCTACCACAGTGTCATTGAATTTTGTCCATAATTCAGTCCTTTAATACTCTGAAAGCATTCTTATGAAAAGTCACAATAGTGATATCACAAGATTATATTCAATTTCAATTCAACAAACATTTATTAAGCTCCTGTTATATGCCAGGCACGATACAAGAAACTGGGGGTAAAAACAAACAGACAGAAATGAGCTCCTTGAGAGAAGGAACTGTCTTTTGCCTTTCTTTGTATCCCCAGTGCTTAGTACAGTACCTGCCATGTAGTAGATGTTAAATAAATGATTACCAACTGACTGAAACAATCTCTGCCCTCAAAGAGCATAGATAAAATAAAATATATACAGATAAGGAAATAAAAATATATAACCCTTATTTTGACAACTTGAATTTTTTCCAATATGATTGATATATTAGGGAATGGTTTCAGCATAACATGAATTTTATTTGTTTATTTGTGATTTTGCCCTTGAGAAACATTGAAAAAACAGAGAAAACTGTGTTCGTAAGAATTCACAAGCTGTAACCTTTTTAGTACCCTTTTCCACAAGCAAACTTCAACTCTTTTTCTTTTTCCTTTTTGTTTGTTTGTTTGTTTTTAAAATAGTATTTTATTTTTTTTCCAATTACATGTAAAGAAAGTTTTCAGCATTCACTGTTACAAGATTTTGAGTTCCAGACTTTTTTCTCTATCCTTCCTTCCCCTCCCCCTTCCCCAGTAAGGCAAGCAATCACTTCAGGTCTTTTTCAAGGTAAAGGTCTATATTTATTGTTTATCTTCTGGGGCAGGAGGAGCTCTGGGCTGAGCAGCACTGGTCTGCTCATCCTTTCCCCTCCACTTCTTTTTTTCCTCC